GTTCATTGGAGGAGGGCATTTTATCTGGCAAGGAGACTACATTACTTTGCCTGCAAGACACGAGATTCGGTTGACGCGGAGAAGCAGACCAACGGCAGTCGTAAAATCGACACGACCGCTGTCTGAAGACACAGACACCGCAACCACAGACTGACTGCCCGGCTACTCTGGAAGACCGGACCACTTGGAATCCCTGGAACCCGTAAAGATCGAGCAAAGTGAAATATTCTAGAGACTAGACCGGTCTTCAGACAACATGATATCCAGTTTCCGGCCCAAGGATTGGATGAGTTTGCCAGGTTGCGGTCCGTAGGCTGTAAGAACGTCCGGGGAAACATGAAGCATGCATCTCGCTGAGGGTACGGCAGCTAGGTCACTTACGGCAAGGTTGGCACTGAGTGTGCTGCTGGATGGTTCCCCCCTCCTTGTCAAACGCCGCTCTATGGCTCAAGCTGGACTGCGAGAGGGTGTGCACCAGAAAGCGAGACAGAAAGAGAGAGAGAGGGAGAGAGAGAGAGAGGGGCGACATGGAAGACCAGAAACCCCTTTTCACGGGGGCCAGCCAGCGATGAGAACCATAGTACGCAGGAAGTTGTCCAAAGACTGCCGCTGGAGCCCAGAGGAGCTTGAAGTGGTGTACTGCACCTAGCTTCCGCGGCTGCCAGGGAACTCGACAACTCAGGCTGAGGCCTCTCTGATGGACCAATGAGCAACGTGCCATTAATACATGAAGCATAAGAAGTCGACTAAAGAGCAGGTTGCCCAAGAGCAGACGGGACGGTTGAGAAGACGGATGTCGGACAAGCTCAGGCTAAGGTACCCCTTCTGCCCTGGGCCCTGACGCCTGCTGTTCAAAAAGAAGGAAAAATAACGATGGGCGTTACTCGGTCGGTTGGTGTCCATACAGTGCAAGCAAGATGTCCGCCCTGAGTGATGGAGTCGCGCTAACCACACCTGTGAGCAAGCAGGTACGTACCGCTCAGTATCGTTCCGATTCCCCACACTTTTCTCCAGGTAAAGGCCCGCTTCATGTCCTGTGCCACTGCCAGTCAGAGCCAAGCTAGGCTGGGCTGGGCTGGTCAGGGGTGCTGGCTAGTGGGGCCGTCCATCTCTGATGCGCCAATCACGTTAGCCCCTCCCCGACCCCCGTCCACGTCCTCTTTGTTCCTCACGGAAGGAGGAACTGGGAGCTGCCTCGACACATCTAAGATTCTAGACCAAAAGAGAAAGAAGCGGGGAAACACAGCCAGAAGGAGGCCAGACGAATATTGAGATAGAGTAGTTAGGAAGGAATCGGGAACCACAAAAGAAGGAGGCCAGACGAGAGGGAGAAAAACCCACTGAGATGTGTTCTGGCCGTGGCGAGCAGCCTGCCCCCAAAATCCCCAATTTGCCAACCGGGTTTTTTCAGGGTAACCTCATCTTACGGTGCTCTTCTTCTTCATCGACTCGACTTGACTGCACCTCGTGTGCCCTGGACAGCTGCATCTCTGAACCGTTTCTTGCTTGTCAACCCGCACTATCTTCAGATTCCAGCTTTGTCCCGTTCTCAATCAAGGCCAGGAAGATACCCAAACTTCTTTTTTGGCCGGGCGATGGATACTAATTCCGTGTCCCAGCAGCTTTCAATTAAGTGATTGGGAAACTCGCATAAGATTCTTGCGATTACAACGAGACCCCGGCATCTCAACCAATTCTGTTCTGAGCCCATGCCATAACATGCCTATGTACTACGCCGTACAATGTTGCTGCGATCGACACGTCTACAGCCATGCACCCCAAGCTATTCACCACCCTTCCATCTGCTGCCGGTGCGGCCTTCACCGATAAAGCTTACCTACACGACTTCCGAGCTCCGACATCTGTCTTCTGCCGGATCAGGACGTTTACAAAGAGACTTGAGAGTAACTCACGGCCAAGCCCCGCGCGCCAAATAAACAGTCTGACTGTGGCCCCGGCTGAGAGACTGACAAAAAGTTGGCCAACACGAAATCGAACAGGGCCATCACCGGATGGAAACCCCGTGGGATGGGCCCGACGATGCCGTCAGTCTCGCAGCTCTGTTCTTGCATGCTTTCCCTCAGCCTCCCAGCATGGAGTGGGCATCTGACCCAAATGCGGCTGTAACAGGCGGAGCCCATTCGCCCATCGCCGATCCTCCAACCTTAGCTGCCTTTCGCCCCCCGATTAACGCTGGGCCAAGTCCACCTCGGTCAGCGGTGGCATTGCGCAAACAATCGACAAGGTATCATCGTCGCAATTCGCGACTTTCACTCGACCCGTTCCTCGTTTCCATGTTCCGTCCTATGTGCAGTCATGCAGACCCGCCGTTGTAGGGTCTCTCCCCCCGCTCACATCACATCGCTCTGGCCGCGGACGTACGTGAGACGCCGTCTCGATCCAAACACGTTTGTTTCTTGAACGCTACATGACGCACACGCCGCCATCGTGCCCTATCAGCGAAAACACAGGAGCTCTGGTCCAGTCTTGCAGGGCCTCTCCTTGCAAGTGTATTGTTTCTGCCGTTGGGGGGTTGCGACTGTGTTCGGGAATCTGCAGCTGGTCACCGGCTTTCATCCAACACCCCGCATCGAATCCATGTTCCTCGAATGTCCGTGTGTTCCAGCTCCAACACACGAGGACGTCTGTCCCTCTGCAATGGTTCATTCCATAGCTTATATGGCGGCCTTGCTAATCAACTGCTTCTTTTTCTTACAAGCCGCAAGATTAATTGAAAGGTCAATTGAAACCCAGAAAAAACAGCATTTGCAGCCGTCACCACATGCCCCAGCTACTTCGGCAACCGCCTTACTGAAGAAAAGCAATGGAACTGGGTAGAGGCATCCGTGACGTCGAAAGGACCAGCCACTACAGGCGAACGTGCATGTGCAGACGCGGGCACAAGGTTTGGTGTTGAGGGTCTGGGTACAGGGCACATCTCCGAGACCAAGAGGGGTAAGGATCCGTGGAGCAGACGGGCTGCTGCAGCTTGTCACGCGCGCCGTTCTCCACCTAACCTCCTTCATTCTGCAGAAGCCCTCCTCAATGGGGTTTCCTTCTTCACTGACCTCACTGTGGCATCATCCAGACTTGTGGCATATAACACTTTTTGGAGGGACGATATGTCGAATGAAGGTATATCATCGAGGTCCGCGTGCGAGCGCACTGCCGGCAGCCGACGTGTTTGGCAAACGTGCGCTGAAGAGATACATGCAACCCTGGATTCCTGCATACCGATGCGCTGATGTATCTGTATGTGCAAGCTGGCTAGCCTATTTTTCCTACCCGAGACTGGAGTGAGAAATGCTGCCGCTTCTGATGTGAACAACCAAGGGCAATACTAAGCTCCCGAGAGATAAGTTGGAGGTCGGGTTCACCGCTGCATCTTGATGGCATCATCAACAATCAACAATGGCATCGTCCCTGAGACTGGCTCACCGTCGAATGGATGTGATGTAGGGAACCGAAACGCGACGTACCGCACCGCAGCCCAGATCGACATACCCCCGAGCCGATGGAGGGCGAAAGTCAAATGTCAGCCAGGGGCTTTACCCCGGATTCTCATCTCGTCATTAAACTCAACCTTGGCTCTAGCTGCTCTAACGGGTGGATGGGCGAGAAAACCACAGGAAATACTCAAGCGGCGCCATCCGTTGACCGACAGCATCCATGCTCACTCTCGCTGGACGTAAGAAGATCAGTTCAACCCAAGGCTCACTTACGGCAAGCGATACTTTGATAAGTTACAAAGCGACCCTCTCGAAGCGCGCTAGCGCATCTAACATCCTAAGGCTCCCAAGGTCAGTTCGCCAGCACCACCACATCTTTCTGCTGCGCCGGCTGCCCCTCATCCTCTGTGCCCTGCAAGCCTTTGCTCGGACGGCCTCTGTTCACATTGTGGTCTTTGGAACAAAGCTTGCTCAGGACGTGACCGTTGCTTGTCAGAAAGCATCCAGTTGTATTCGGTGCGGAGACGGGACAGGCATGTACCCGGAATGGCTGGCATGATGATGAGGAGATGCGGCACAAGATCAGCGGAAGTCAAGGAACCTAAACTTGACCGAGGGGGAAAAGCAAGTTACCCCCAAGTGGATTGATTTCCCCCCGTCCACATATGCGAGGACAAGAGGGGTGGGAAACAAGCCGGACGTGGCCGTGTCGTGGAACGGATCGTTGGCCTGCTTTGCTCGCTGGGTGGCCTTACGACGACGTAGGCGAGGGAGGGCAAGGAGTGCACTCCGGTCGGCGGTTGCGACTCTACACCACGGCGAAAAGCGTGGAGATGGATGCCCGCCCACCCTCTTCATCCAAGCGGATTGAGGGGTTCACTCTCACTTGAGGGGTTCCTGCACGGCGACCAGCTACCCCGGCTCCCCGCCCTGATCCGCTGCAGCAACCCTTGGCTGGACAAGAGAGCCCAATCAACGTTGAAGAACAGAAAACCCTCCGCCAACCCTGACGGTTGTGAAGACGAAGACGGTCTCGAACGCTCATGTCTGTAGGAATTATGACGATCTTTTCCCGCCTCGTCTACGGACGTTGTCTGGCTCTTCATCTGGCCAGCGCCGGCCCGAGGGGGTCTCGTGCACCCCGCGCATAGGCTGGCACGCACTTGGACCGGTCTCGCCCTGGAACACGAGTCTATCTGATGGAAAGCCAAAGTTGCATAGTTGTCGAATTGGTGAGGCTCACTCGATTTACAGCCGAACACGAGCCATCGCGAGCCTGATCAGACAGACGCTGGCAACCAGCTGAAGCGGTGACGGCTTGCGTGAAGCATGCCACTGGCGATGGCGAGGCTGTACGGGCGACGTAGACGAGGCTGTGATGAACAGCGATGTGATGGGTATTGCCTCGGTCACCGGCCTTGTTTTTGGCCTGGTGAGTCCTGAGGATGTAATGATACAGCATTTTCTACAGGATCCATACCGCGCCCCCAACTCCTTTTTTTCCCGTCTCTTCCCAAAGTCATAATCGCGCAAAGACTCTATTCCCAGCTTTTAGGCGATGGCCTCGACGCCCTTTTGCGCCTTGAGCTTCTCCTCGAACTTGGCAAACTCCTTGAGGGCAACCTCTTCTTCCTCGTCCATGATCTGCTCGACACCCTTGACTTCCTCAATCTGGCAATAAGGATTAGCACACAAAGCCAGACAGGCACAAGATTTTCGAATACTCACGTAGTGCATCAGCATACTCTCGATGCCGTTCTTCAGGGTGGCGGTACTGGAGTCGCACGTGCGGCAGGCACCGCGAAGCTTCAGCAGAACGACGCCCTCGTCCGTGAAGCCACGGAAGTCAATGTCGCCACCGTCCTCCTGAATTGCGGGTCGTATCCTCGTCTCGAGCAACTCCTTGATCATACCGACCACCTCGCTGTCGTTCTCGTCGTACGCGAGACTGTCCTCCTCCTCGGCCTCGGGCGCCGCGGCGCCGTCCTTCTTTTCCACGACGTTGACGATCGTCTGGCCAGAAGTGATGGCCTCGGTGATGAGCGCAAAGATCTCGGGACGGATGTGTGCCCAATTAGCATCGGCGGCCTTGGTCACCGTGATGAAGTCGGCGCCGTAGAAGACGGAGGTGACGCCGTCAATGTTCATCAGCTGGGCGGCCAGCGGGGAGGGGTACGGCGGTGCGATGGTCGAGCGCGGGTTCATGTACTCGATGAAGGGGCTCGAGATCGTCTCGGGGAGGATGCGGTGGTTCGGGAGGAATTTGATGGCGTCCGGGTTCGGGGTCGACTCCGTCTGTATGAAGATTGTGCGGACGGCGCCCTGACGCCCGGCGAAGGGCGATTGTCTTTGTTGGGGCTGCTGGTGCGTCGGACTGCGAGGCAGTCGACTCTGCTGCAGAAGGCCGGAGGATACGGCCGCGGGCAGGCTGGAGGGGTGATGGCTCGCGAAATGTCTCGATCGCTGCGCGGCGGGGGCCGATCTGATTTGCCTCGTGGAGCGCGCAATGGCGCGGAGCGCTGTCCTCGACGTTCTGAAGGATGACATCGTGTGTGGGTGTGTGTGTGAGTGTGTATAATTATGTTTGTCGTCGTCAAGTGCGTACTTGTCGGCAGCGGCGTCGTTACTATTCAGGTTTGGCTCGTAAGTTGGTTTGCAAGGTGCAAGTTTACATCAAAATGATGACTGCGGTCGCCATGTACAAATTTACCCCAGGGTTCGAACGCTCTGCTCCTCGGCATTACTCAACGCAGGGCGCAACCGCCAGATGGAGCTAAATCGGCTTTTCGAGCACAGTTTTGACAGAGGGATCCTCTTTTTTCCCCTTCGCCGCTCAATTCCGAGGCCTTGTATTACCAATCATGGGTCTTGCGGCTGCGGGCCTTGTCAGGATGACGCAAAGCCTTTTTCCCTCACTAATATTCGCATGCCTTCGTCCGCAGAATTCCCGACTCGCCCGAACACAGTGGGACTGGGTAGGCACGCAAATGGACACTCGGACGAGCTCCAGAATAATTCGATACTGGCACGAATGCACTTCTCACAGTGTTCAAGTTGCATCCATCTTGTGGGGAAGAGCCAAAGTCACCCCGGGTCCCCAGAGTACTCTATACATGGCGGGCAGACATTCGACTCGGGCTTTTGGCGGTCAGGCCCAGCTGCCCAGTGGACTGCGGTGCGGACCTCTGCACTGAGGTTAGGACTGACCGCCTAAAAGCTCAGGCCCCACTAGAATTTTCTCGAGAGCTCCGACGCTTGGGTCTGCGAGCCCGTTAAGCGGCAGAAAAAATGAAACGATGTGAGGGAAACAACAGCAAGCAACGTTCCCGAACAAAAAGGAAAGCGCAGGGTGAACCACAACGGCTGAACCTCCGTTTGCGACCAAAAAGTTTTTTCCGTCTTCTTTTTTCTTTGCTTCCCCTATCTCTGACATATCCTAGTCGGCATTCTTGTCCAAAGCCAGCACGTTGTTCATATTAGCGACGCAGACGAGGTCGAACCATTCTCTACCGAACAGGACGCTTCTCAAGCACCGAGGCAAGTAAGATCCAAAGCCTGGATCTTTGCGAGAAACGCAGCCACCCAACGAAGACTTCAATTGCGGCGCTTGCAGACATAGCTACTCGGAGAGCTGCTTAGAGACTGCTCACGGAGCGGAGAAAGTACTTCAAAAGGAAACGGGCGAAACACTTTGTGGCGGCGCGCGAATCGATCCGAGAAAGAAGCGAAACAATGTCCGCCGATAACGACGGCCCTCCGCCGCAGCCGGTCGTCCCTCGGTCCCCCAAGCGCTCGCAAGATGTGCTGGAGGAGCTGATTGAGCATGCGAACAAGAGGTCGAGGACTGTGAGCCCCCACGAGAACCAACAAGAGGCGGAGGGGGCCGCGGCGAAGAGCGGGGAGAAAGATGCGCCGGCTGCCAACGGAACGACGAGCAAGGACGCAACAGGCGACGCCGTTGACGAGAGCAGAAAACAAGAGGTGTCACCAAATCTTGCCAAAGAGCCTGCGCCAACAACAGCACCGCAAACCCAAGAACCCGAAGCAGTACCCGAGCCAAAGGCGGCGCCCAAGACTAAGATGTGTGGCATTTGCAACGAGAAGGAAGGCAAATACAAGTGCACCCGTTGTCCTTTGCCATTGTACGTCTCACCGTGGGGACATTTTGTCTTCATTATACATTCTCTGTTGTCGTGTGCATTATTTACTAACATTAATGGGTATGAAAATAGTTGCTCGGTGCAATGTAGTAAGATCCACCGCGAGAACCACCCGCCAGATCCCGAACCCGTTCCCAAACCGCCCGTCGAGGCGCCTAAGCAGCCAGGGGCCAAAAAAGCCTTCGATCCAAAGAACCCCTTCAGCGTCCTCGACGACTCGCCCCAGCTGCGCTACCTGTTCAAGCGCTACCCGAGTCTAAAATCGCGTCTGCTGGGTATCCTCGCCGCCACCGAACCGCCGCCAGAGTTGCAGGGAACCGGAAACAGCCTGAACGACACGATGAAGGCGAGGGCCTTGGCGGCCGCGAATCCCAAGAAGGAACAGTGGTCGCATGATGTGGGTATCCGCAACGGCAAGGAGGCATTGCGGAAGGCGAGGACCGCGGCGGGGGAGGACGGCGAGGGAGTGCGGGAGTACATTGAGCTCATCAACCATCTCATCCTCAAGGGCGAGGACGCCGCTGCTGAGGAGGCGATCCGGAAGAGTGCAGCGGAGAAGGATACGGATCTCATCAGGAAGCTCTTGGAGGAGGGTAGGTGAATAGCCCGGCGGGAGACAAATGGGCTTGACGCCATGGTTTGGATTAGGCGTACACATTCGAAAGGTGTGCTGTGAACCACCGTGTACGTGTAGAAGTATTCGTATAGTAATATTGTTGGACAACGGTAAGCCGACCCCCCTCTGTATTGCCGCGGGGATCAATGGTTGACCTTGAATCTAGCAAAGAATCCACTCTTGGGTGACCTGAGCGTGGTGTCAGACGGCGGGCTGCCATCCCTGGACCTCTGCTGCTGATCATCCTGCTTGTGCTTGGTCAACGCGCTCAACTTATTCCTCAGCGCCCAGATGGAATCTGCGCTGCGCAAGGAGGGCCTGGACTTTTGCCGTTGTGCCTGCTGCTCTGGCTGGTGGGGAAGAGTCTCGTCCCTTTGCGTCCAGTCGGCACGGCGGTCATAAGGATCCTGATCGGGCACTTCGGGGCTGTCGCCGTCCGGGTTCGGTGACGAGGTGCCGGATTCCCACGACATCAGCAGGTCTGCAGCCCCTGTGCTCGCGCGCCTCGCAGCGCGGGCGCGGCGGTCTTCCGCATGGTGTCCGGCGGGTGCACCTTCGATGGTGTGCCTGTGGTGATTCCTGTCGCGATACGGACGTTCAATCGGCTGCGTCTCATCCTCCGGGATGCGGTCCGAGTAGAAGTTCTTGCGCTCCTGCTGATGCCGCTCCCGGTGAGCCTGCGCGATCCTCAGGGCGGTGCGGGACAGCTTGTGGACGAGCCCCTTGCCCTCCGGCATGCTGTCTGACGTGGTCGTCCGTGCAAACTGCGAGGCGGCGAACTGCGGGATGTAGTGGTGCTTGCTCTTGGAGGAGTCCTTTGACTTGGAGCTCGAGCTCCGGCTGTCGTCGGACATCTTGGACTTTGGCCGTGCCGCGCTGGTATCGGGTCTCTCCTTGGGTGCCGTGGGTTTCTTCGCTGCTGGCTCGGTGCGTGGCCTGACGGGGTTGATCACGGTTCGACGTTCTCCGGGCTTGAGAGTGCCTTGTTCGAATATTTCCCTGGCCATGCTAGCGTGTGGTGGTGGTTGAGTGGCTGAGGATAGGTTCATGGGCGCTGCGTTCCCGCCGGCCGCTCCCTCGGCCCTGGCTCTCCTCCTTCTCTCGGAATAAGCCTGGCGATCAGCAATGACTTTGTTGAGTTTCTGTGAGAGCTCCTCCGGGTCGAAGGGCATCGGCTGGGAGCACCGCTGTTTCGGCGGCCGGATGGCGGCGGCGCCCACGGGTGCCATTGTGGGTTTGATGGGTTGCTGCCCCGCTACCGCCGCCGGAGGTGCCCCCGCGTGGTCGTGAGGGTAGCTCATGTTGTATAACATGTCGATGACGTGCAAGTACCCCACTGGGGATTTCTCTAAGCGAGGCTGTTTGGAGGTGAAAGTGTTCCAGAGTTTTTGGCGACTCTTGGTGGGAGTATGTGAAAGCCCTTGAGAAGTGTATACACAATGTAAGGCGATGCTATTTGTCGTGTGTTCGTAAGAAGTTTCGCCGTGTCAATCGGTTGATCGGAGGACGGTGGGTTGACGACAAGGAGAAAATAAGTAGCGAGATCTTTGGTGGTTTGTACAACAGGGTTTCGTTGATATGTCACATCCGGAGAACCCAGCCTTGACGTACGAAACGGAGAGGTGGACGGCGAAATGCGAACGAAAAAAGGTGACTGCTGACTTTTGGTTACGCTGCTTGCTGCCCTGGAAATGCGACAAACTGCCCTGGAAGTGAGAACGGTACAGCCGCCAGTCTTGGGTCCTGTGTGGGCTATGTATATGTCATACGACCCGGCGCAGAACCACGGTTCGAAGCAGGTCACAAGCGACCCGAGTGTGTGTTCCTTTGGCTCGATCGTCCCAGGCCCAGGCCGAACGGAAGTGGGGTCGAAAGCGTTTCCCCCCGGTCCTGCTCTTCTGTCACTCTCCCGCGGCGCGGCACGGCGGGCGCACAGGGGTCCTTGTGAAATCCTGTCGGCTGTTCGTCTGGTGCAAGGCACCGTAGCGGAGCGAGCTGGGCTTGCGTCGTGTGTCCTGCGTGCGGACTGAGAGGGGGATGGATGGGTGGATGGATGGATGGATGGGAGGCAAGCCAAGGAGGTGAGAGGTGAGTTTGCGTATGCGTGGTTGCGTCTTCTTGCTGCTTCGTCCTCTCTTTTGGTCCGGCAGGGTCCCAGACAATATGTACCTCACGGGCGAACACACACACTTTCAGACTGCTGTGTCCGCGCTTAGTCCCTCCCCGGTTCCTTCTACTCGGATGCTGATGTGTGTGTTTTGGGACGGGAGAGCGGAGATAAAGCGTAGGTATGATGACTGTGTGTGCAAGAAGGTGCAGGAAGAGGAGAAGAGAAGAATGCGTTTTGCTTATATGTAAAGTTATTGCTGTGTTGTTGGTGTGTGTGTATGTATGTTTGGTCGAGGCGAGAACGGACGCTCTCTCTTCCTCTCTCTCTTTGCAGCGTGCAAGGATGAGGAGGGCAGGAGGAGAGACAGTTGACTGAGAATGCTCCGTGTGCTAGTGGTCGAGAACACAACCGCACCAGGAATAGTACAGAGACAAGACCCAAGAGAACCAGAGACAGAGGAGACAAAAATAAAGGTTGTTTTTGTGGTGGGAAAAGATGAAGAATTAAGAGCCACAAGGGGGGGAGGAGGGGGTCACGGATGTCTTGAAGGACGAGCGTTCCATAGGTTGCATTTTTAGACAAGCTCGCCTGGTCAGGTCTGGTCAGGTCTCTCTCTCTCTCTCTCTCTCTTTCGTCGAGTGTGAGTGAGTAAGTGAGTGAG